CATAATCACTGATTATTTCACTCACGAATTCTAATCACGTCCCAATAAATCAATTAAATAACAGGACTCTCTCAATTATAAGCTTAAGGAAACAAGATTAAGTTTGGCAGCCTTTATTACTTCATGCACTTATTCAATTTGTAGCGCTTATCCTCTGTTAGTGTGGCAATTCTTAGATTCCTTCCTGTCAGATCAGATGACCTAAACCGACTTGTTTACAAAAGTTCTAAAGCAACTTTTAGTACAACATATGTCAAAGACATAAAATTTTATGGCCATTTTGAATATTTAACGCATCCTGAGGTATATGAATGTATCAGATTTCGACAGAGTAATGTGATAATGCAATATGCCTAATAACTGGATGCATTATTCCTAGTTGAATTATGCATTCATATTTTTATTGCCCTATTTTCTAAAAGTACTAGAATTTCCTGAAGGACTTTTCTGCATAGTAAAACGTGCTTCGTAGGGATGCATTTAGCATTCAATCAAGTAATATATATCAGATGATTTTTAAACGCTTCACATGAGATTTTACAAAGAATTCTTATGAATTTTAACAATAATGCATACTAATAATGAAACCTATTACCAAGTCAGGTTTTGTTCCGATACGGCAAACATTCTTAAAGTTGACTCTGATTTCTCTTCAGCTCTCTTTGACTAATTCTTAACCACCAAAAGACACTAAGCTTGCCAATGTTCTTTCGGAGATAACAATACAAACTGTTCTTCCTTTCCCTCTCTGATATTAACAACAAATAATTAAACGAAATTTTCAAATCTTGTGACTGGTCCTGAAAAATATCATTTTTAAAATTGCTCTTATTCTACACAAAATACTCTGAAATTGATGAATTTAAAGTCCATGCTGGCTTTATGGCATCATTGACAGCTGCCTTTTCAATAAACATGGGTTCGTAAATATACCTACCTTGTCAATGATCATTTGCAAAATTATTTTGTTATAAACATACTGATTGTACATGCAATTACTTTGAATTTGTTATTAAATAGATGAGTTTCTGATTGACAATATGTATGTTTTCCTTATTCAACAATCTATTCTCTTGCGCCTATTATTACAGACATTTTGTATTCATAATTCTTATATTCCTGTGAACAGAACTTGTTCCAATTATTCAAATTGCTTTTGCCTTCAACTTGACATTTAGATATATCGACGACGTATTGTCACATTAACAATGTCAATTTCCATGCTTATGTCGATATGATATATCGGCGACATATCATTGATTAATACATACTCTAATTCGTATGTAATCTCGATATATCCCAGTGATAATAAATAAATAAAAATAATAAATAAATAAAAAATAAAAGACATCACAGAGTCTATCACATCTGTTTCCTAATTAGGTGTTTTCCTGATTGTGGACGATAAAGACCAACTTACAACTAAATTTTATGATAAACGAGATGATTTCATCTTTTCCATCGTTGGCAGTCCTTATTCAAGTAATAATTTTCCGCTATCACCTGAATATGTAGTGTTTACATCTACCACCTTACTCAATTCTAAAGAACAAGGTCCGAGTACAATCAATTTTGAGACAAAATTTCAACAACCTTTTATTATAAACATACTGTTATTGTACCTAGTCAATTACTATTTATGAATTTGTTCTTTGATTGTTTTCCAAACCAATTTTAAGGCTCTTGATTTTACACTGAAGTTGACTACGGAATGTAACGTCTATACTTAATCAATGCAGAGGACTTACGACGGGTGTGACGACGGGTGTGAATGGTTAATAGGGGGATACTTACTCCATCAAAACATCTGATCTAATCTCTTATTTCGGGGGTCCTTGTATAGGCCTTGTCCCAAAATTATATTTAAGTTTTTTTTAAAGATCGATCATTGTAACAGTTATCTTCAACTTTATCATTTCACAACTGTCGAATTTTTATATTCCCGCGTCCTACGCAGAATTTCCTTCCCTATACTCTCTGCGCTTTGAATAGAAATTTGATTGATTAATTGAGGTTTGTTTTACGTCCCATTCAAGAATTCTTCACTCATAAAGAAACGTTACCATATACCGAGGAAGGCTTCAAAGTTTTACCTTTACTCTGCATTCAGGACCATGAGAAGTGATGGATAAAAATCGTGTCAGCACTTACTGCGACACGGGCTCTCGGTTTTTAAGGTCTCATCCGAAGAACCTGCAACTTTCACTTCAAAGTGCCGAGCGCATGGTGAAAGAAAAGTTGCTACCCATTTTTATCGACTTAGGTCAGTCGCGAGATTCGAACTCGCGATCTTCCCATCAGCTAGCGAGCACTCTACCAACTAAGCTACCGTGAAGGTGAATAGAGAGATTCGAAGATCTTTTGGATGATGCTTTAAAAACTGGGGTCCCATATCACGAGGGCATTTACACAATAAATATCACTCATCGCTCAAATAAAGATATAGATTTATATGGCATGTCAAACGTTGCAATATTCGATGTTTTCCATTTGTATTGTATAATTTTCCATTTGTATTGTATAATTGTCATTCATATTCTATAATTTTCCATTTGTATTCTATAATTTTCCATGTGGATTGTATAAGATTTATTTGCATTCTAAATTTTCCATTTGTATTAAAAAAATCATTCGTATTTTTAATTTTTATTTGTATTCTATATTTTCCATTTGCATTGTATAATGCGAAGGAAGCAAGCAAGATATTTTCGGGTTATTTGGGCTCCTCTACATGTATTTGCGTGGATGCTAAGGCACTTCTCGGGAGGGAGAGGGGAAATCTGCTCCAACCCGAAAACACCATTTCCCAGGGCATATAGGGGCTGGTTGGCTGAGGTACAAGCATGCAAGATTAAATAATTTATTTTCACAGACATTTCGAAGGACATATTATTTATTTGCCATCTGCAAGCGCCGCTCCCTTTTCATATAAATGGCTGTTCTTCAGCATGTAGGCAAATACATATAGGAGCCAAATTGGCTTTTTAAGTGCAGTCGGAACTTCTCGCTCATTTCAACACGATAAAGGCTTAATTAATCTTGACCAAAATGGATCCTTCGTAACGAAATAAACAATTCTCGGATACATTACAATTTAGATTAAATTAAACAATACAAATGGAAAATATAAAATGCAAATGAAAACTGATAAAATTAAAATGATTTCTTTTACACTAGAAATGAAAATATATAGAATACAAATTAAAAATTATAGACTACAAATGGAAAATTATAGAAAACAAATAAAAAATATATAATACAAATGGAAACTTTTACAATGCAAATGGAAAAATATAGATAACAAATAAAAATGAAACAATGCAAATGAAAAAGGCAAAGTTTGACATGCCATAGATTCAAAGCCTTTCATATATACATGTTTATTATATGATGTCTCTATGCAAGAGAAGAAATCTGGAATAGAATGTAAAACAAAACAATCAATCAAACTTAGCTAGGTTCCTGCAAATTTGAAATATATCTTCAATAGTTTTCAGCTAGAAAATACAGAAATTAATAACGTTTTCATTCTCATTTCTCGAAAGCATACGTGAAATTTTTGATTTCCCGGTATAATTTATGTATCAAACTTATATGTGAATTTAATAAAAGGGTTCAGTGTAATAATTGCTGAGCAACAGTTGACCAGTTTACACATTTGTAAATTTATCCAACCCCAATCCGTAATATCTTTGGTTGTCGTGTGATTTGTAAATTTTCAAATGGTTCATTTTTTTTATTCAAAATAAATCCGCAGTTGTATACATGGGATTCCAGTGCGTATACTGATACTCTTGAATAAGGTTCAAAAACATACAATATGAATGATGGTTATATAAATAGAGATTTTATTGAATAACTGAGGATGAAGGTAGCTTAGAGAGAAGTAATCAATGAAAAATTTTTTTTCCAGAGTTTGAAAAAATTTGTACAGAGTGCTGACTGTTTTACAAAACTTCTATTTCATATATAGTCTCGCATTATTTATAATCGGAATGGCAAATCCAAACCACACCACAATGAAGCAAAAGGTACAAATTGTTTTCGTGGAGATGTAATTGTTTCATCATACTAAAGCTGGTTGGAACGATTCCCAGAGAAACTGATCACCACTCAATCTTCTGAACCATTTAGTTTGAAAGATATTACAATCATTATATGGAAATCTTAAACAATCTCATTTAATAAATGAAATGCCTCTTTTACCGCTAGAATATTAAGATATTTTTGCAACAGTATGGAAAAACGGATATTGTTTCATGACCAAATTACTAAAAATGAGATACATCCCTTGTTAAAAATGAAATATATGGAGATACGAACGATATTCGGGCTCAAAAGTCCATCAGACAATAAAAATCAAAAGGGCAAACACGGACCTCTAAAACATCAGAGGCAGGATAAGGTGCCATGGAGGAGTGAGCATCCATGCAGACCGGTCACATGCTCCTTGTTAAATCAGGAAATAACCGAGAAGCCGTCGGCAATTCAGTGTGTAAATAATGGCCCAACAAATACTTTGAAAAACGTCAGTCTGCGTTTACTAAATGCTAGATTATATTTGCTGAAAATGTCATTGTATCGACCATAGAATTAACAAAATGATGACCTTAAATGAGACTGATGATACAGTAAAATTCGGTTATAATGAAATCACTGGGGCTTTTTCTTTCATCAGTCATCAATAACTTACCTCGTCTTAGAAATTGTTCATACGTAGTACGTAAGTACGTTGTACTTACGTTCTTGCGTATCGAATCAACTAGGAGATATAAACCCCGTATGCAGGTGTTAATGGTGTATTACTGAAAAAGTAAGGGAAGTTGACGATTGAAAAGTTTAAGTCATTGGTCCTCGTATATCGTTTATAAACTTTTTGAAAAAGTGATTTTACCAATCCAAAAATAACATTTGGCATAAAAAGAGTATGAAATTGTTTGATTGTTTTTCTATCCAACTTTAATGTTTCATCATAATTTTTTATGAATGAAGACAGTTTAATCAGTAACCGAATGGTTGACTGAATTTAAATCACGATTATCATGATATGTAAAACTTGATTTTAAACATTACAATAATATATTTGACATTCATGACATTGCTTCTTTTACATCAAGCATTTCCAATAATATATTTGACATTCATGACATTGCTTCTTTGCATCAAGCCCTTCCAATAATTTCCTCATAAGCAACAGCATACACATGTTATACATGTATGTCAAAATTGTGATTTAAATGACACAGTGAATTCAAAACTCGCACAAGACACAAGTGTTGTAAAAAATAAGTAAATGAATAAATAAAATGTAAATAAACAAACAAACAGTAAAATAAATTGATTAAATTAATTAATTGATTAAGAAGTTTGCTGGACTGAGCAAATTCATCCCTTTTGTGTCTCGTGATGACGTCTTTCCTTCATGCCTTTTTTCCTCTGTAGAAAAATTATTTTAAGCGTTTTTCATTTAGATAGCATTTCATTAGCTTTTAAAATTCATCGAATATATCATAACAATTTTTGCAAGATAAAATGGCATTGATTTTATTAAAATGCAATTTATTAAATATGAGAAGACGATTCTGTCATACTACAGCGGTTGCAATCTCTCTTCCGTTCTCTATTTCAACTATACATGTGCTGTTTCGTCGTAGAAGCTTGACTGACGAGTCATTCGTGCGAGGCCCACATAAATTTTTCTTGAGTTGTAAGAAAATTTCTTTGCTTTCTTCACGAAAAGAACGTGAACAAAACAATAGCACAAAAAAGGTCAAAAGTTGATGACCAAAAGACACATGGTCGAAAAGATGTATAAAGAACGCATATTTATCGCTTTGAATTCGGTCTGGCGTGAGAAACATATATATGTAACCTATAATTGTTACAGGTGTAACAAATAAAACATACAATACCGCCAAAATTAAAACCGAATAAGTTAGATCCGCCGAAGGCCTTCCTGTGTTTGATGTGTGCGCAGTACCTTTTACAATTACACCAGTCGTTATCATTCCACTGAAACACAGAAGTACCACAAGAGGGAGACACCCGTTTGCAAAAGCAGAAATGTATGACCAGATGCGTACCTCCAGTAACGATATATCTGTGAAACATCCCTGTTTTTCTAAATTCGAGAACCACATGACATGCACACTCAACCACACCATTGCTACATAGATTATGGCCGTGGCAATCTTTGCCATAAACACCGTGGTCCTATCAGGGGCACTTGCTGGGTGCCATATAGCAATATAACGGTCCACCGTCATGGCGACAACAATCCAAGGTCCAGTATATTGAAAAACGGAGCAAACAAACTTGTATATCCGACATCCCACATCGGTAAGGTTTTCAATATCGTCCAAATTCGAAATAGTTGCTATCCAGGATGGAAGGTACACAACAGTCAAAAACAGAAGATTTTGGCAGCAGAGTACTTTCAAATAAAATCCTATCGAAATACAATTAAATCTGGGACGTCTAAAAATAAACAATGGCAACAGATTTGTTACAAATGCCAAAAAGATAACACATGGTTGAATAAACTTATGCCAAATATTTTCCATGTTCCCTAATCTTTCCTGCCAGTGAGTAGTATAAAACTGCGTTCTGTTCATTCTGATACCGAGGCGACACTAAGAGAGAGAACTGTTTGTGATCAATCAATGCCGGAGCGCAAAAATATTGTGCACATCTCCTATCGACAGTTAGCTTATAGAGCGAAGACTTCAGTCGTCTCTCCGCCTTCCTTCTGAGGCTTATACCGATAGGGTTGTCAATCACAGGATGCCTTCCTCCCTCAGTCCTAATAATTTAAAGGTCTGGAATAATTTGGTCCTCAACACGCATTGAATAACTGAAATTTTCACATCCAAACTTTTATCTCTCTACAATGGATAATTTTTAAACTAATAAACAATGTAATTGAAGTTTTGAAAATTTGGAAGTTGAACGGAGTATAAATATTATCTTAATAAAATAAAATGTGTTTATGCTGCATAACTAATCATATAAAGTGAGTAAAACTAATTTATATCAAGAAGGGAGGTAATTTATTAATGATTATTCAATATTGCACCAGTTTTAATTTGTTGCAATGTTCCTCCTATATATTGATTAAAGTGAGCCATTTTATAACGAAAATGTCTAGAATTTGAACGGGTACTTTATTTTTGTATTCCATTCATCCTGCGAATGTGCATTTTTCTAATGAATATGGAAATCGTGTGTCAAATTCTGGTTTATTTTCATGTGAGTACCATATAAGGCAGAACTCGGCAAACGAGAGAGAGAGAGAGAGAGAGAGAGAGAGAGAGAGAGAGAGAGAGAGAGAGAGAGAGAGAGAGAGAGAGAGAGCATGATTTTGATACATATGATTTTCAATTTCTTGTTTGAGCGTAATTTGCCCAATTCGTGTGAACATTTAATGTTTAGTATCCTTAAATAGATGAATTAAAACAAATCCTAAATAATACTACAAAGTGGATCAAATTTTGAAAAGAAACAGTTTGTAAAGGAAATATATGAGTATATACATGTACATCACACGAAAAAGAGACGCTTAAAGAGAGAGGATACTAAACATTAACTGTACGCACGGTTTGGACAAATTATGCTCAAACAAGAAAATGAAAATCATATCCTCTCACTTTAAGCTACTCTTTTTCGTGTGATTATTTTAGTACAACCAATCCCCATTGTTATAAGACTTTTAAGGAAAATAAGCACTGTGGCGATCTCACCAAAGTAAATTTTCTGCTAAGAACTCTATTGCGATTGAATACTGAGATTATGGATCCGAAATTGCTTTATATGAAATGGCAGTAAGTCGTCGTACAGTTGGTTATAGGTGGTTCCAAGCCCCCATCAACATCTTAAGACTATTGATAAATAGATCGATAGTAGTTAGTCTTAGCTGCCAATTGATAACCCTATAAAAGGCGTCACAATGAAAAGTTCAAAAAACCCTACAGACACCTACAAATATACAACTCAAAGCTAGAGAGCGTAAAACTGAAGATACAGCACATAGTCAACCATGATATGTAACATTACTGATCTAGTTTTTCAATTGACTCAAATAAACTACTCCCTGTACCACTAATTACACCTTTTATCAAAACGAAGTTTAACTTTGAGCTACTGTAGATGCAACTAAGAGGGAACCTAACATTATAGTATTAATAAATTATATGGAAATAACAAACAGTACTCAAGTTCAAAAGTCCGTTGAAGAATACAAATCATGAGCAGGGCAAACACGGACAATTCAGCCGACATTACAGTGGATACATAGTGACCTAACAATCAGTATGAAAAAAAAGTCAGTAAGCATTTGACTTTTGATAAATTTATTTGCTGACAAGGACATTGTATCGACCTAAAACTTACAAAATAGAGACTTTAAAAGAGACTGATGATGTGTTTCATCAACTTGTTTCTCAATAATTTACCTCGTTGTTGAAATTGTTTGCGTATCGAATCAACAGAAAGATATAAACCCCTTATGAACATGGCAATTAACAAAGTGATTCAACATCTCTACTCATACCTACATGACAACTCAGACAAGGGAATATGCAAAGACTGTCTTGAGAAAGATTTCATTTCTGAAGTGAAAGGTTTGACAGTTTATTATTTTTCGACCTTGGCCTGCCTGTGACCTTAAAGTATATAGGTGTCAACTTTATAAAAACCATTTCTCATCTACATGTAGTGCGTAGTCATTAAGTGAATAGAAGAGTAATCAATATTTAATTGACTGTCGTCTTTAGAGCTTGATCTTTCACAAAATTACATCTCAAATCTGTAGACCTATTAATGAATGCAATAATGCGTTATTTGCATTGCGAATCTGCGAAGGTGTTGGCAGACAATTATTGGACAGCGTTCGATGCAAGGTCGAAATAAAATGAATTTAAATAAATGACTTTCAAATTGAAAAATAATATGCTTGTAGTTGTTAAATGTAACGTTTAGCAACAAATGTTGCTTTAAATACAAATCAGACATCCACATGACCCGAGAGCCCATAAACAAATATTAAGCGTAAACCTTTTTCTCTGCTGGACTATAAATTTGTGATTTAATCAACAATTCTAGCGTAAAATAAGAAAAAAATGTGATAGAGGTATTGGAATAAAATGCATAGCTATCAAATATTTGTTGGAAACACAAAGTAAAAAAAACGGGGACTGAAATTAAGTTCTAAACATGTAGCAAACCCCACTGGGTTATGCATCCAATTCAAACTGATTAGTATGACAATAATGACCAAAATAAGCGATTTTGATGCAGACTTAATCGGCTTGAGAAATTGTATTAAATCCTCTAAGCACCACAGGAAAAACGTTTCTTTTTAATTCACGTTTTAACGTTCATTATGGGCGGACTTTGTTCCGGAGCTAATACATTGAGAAGAGGTCTCTTGCGACGACCCTCAGTTTTGTCAATTGACAATATTCAAACCCTTTTATAGAGCCACAGAAAGGTGTCTGGAGCAAATAATAAAAATCCAGTATGTCATACGTAGAAAATTAATATTAAGTTCAGATTTATATAGATAAATATATATTATTATAACAAACTTGTTTCTCAATAATTTACGAGACGCGAAGCGTCGTTGTTGAAATTGTTTGATACGGCTCTTCGGATCAGTTACTGTTATAATGATAAATTTATTATATACCCCCTCATAACTATATAGCAAAGAAAACTTGAGAGATCAATTGCATAACATTTATCCATAAAACAAAGCATAATAACAAGGGACTTTTTAACGCGCAAGAAAAATAACGTCATATTTCTGCGTACTACCAGGCGCGTAGCCAGCATCGAAATGAAGTGTACGCAGAAAATGGTCGGGGGTCTGGGGGCCGCCCTGACTCATACCTACATGACAAGCCCTGGTGGGGGACAAGGGAATATGCATTTTACGAAATTATTCAGTCATTTTCCTTTAAAAGAAATCACGCTACATCTCTTTTCTCAAACAAACACTTAGCTAAGTTATACTTCCATGGATACTTCAGGAAGTGAAAGGATAATTTTCAAATTAATTAACGAATATATTGGTATTGGAAAAAAGTTTCCAAGTGTGACAAGATAAAACAGAGAAGTAATTCAATAAGTTATATATAGAGTTAAAGTATTTCAAAATATACTAGTAAACGGGGATATGGGTCTTTTGATAACCTTTATGTTCTGATAGCTTAAACAATGTGAGAGTACTTAAATTCTATAAATTGGTAACATCAGTAAAAGAAGATATTCATAAATGATCTATATTTTTATATATACTTTGTTCAGTAATTTGAATTTTGCCATTTTTTTTTTTTGGTTTATCGATATCTATTCATTACTTCAACGGAATTTCTTGTATAGTTGTCCAAAACCCTTGTAACTTTTTCTTTAGATCAATGTCACTTAGATCGCTTTCCTTCATCAAATATATACGTGTATTTGTCCGGATAATCAGGATTACGCGGATTAACAGTTGAAAATTTTGGTGCAACAATATTTTCCTGCTGAAAGAATTTTGGATTTCATTTTATAAAAGACTGGATTTTAACAATATTCTGAACAAAATTTGAATAGAAACAATAAGACGTAAAATAATTTGAAAGACAGATATAGTGCCTCTTTTTCTCCGAATAAATCTCTTTCTTTTTTTATTCTTTTTTCTTTCTTTCTCTTCTTTTTTTTCTTTTTAGCTCTACTGGTCAGAGACAAATGCTTATGCGATAAATGCAAATCCGTCCGTCTGTCTGTCTGTCTGTCTGTAAACAAAAAATGCTTAACAGTTTTGGTCTGATTTCAATATAACTTGGCACACAAGTAGACTACACTAAGATACATGTACATATTTCTGTGTAAAGTATTTTCTCTTCCTTTGCTCTAAGTTCAAACCAGTAGAGCTTCAGTCTCGACAGAGACTTCTGGTTTTTTTGAAAATGATGTGTACGCACTTGCGTACTTGCGTATAGGCAGCTACGCGCCTGACTACGTCATCAGTTTCAGAGAGTGGTGATATCAAATATGTTGGTGATGGAAACACACGATGTCACGTGATAGCGTAAATTCAACAGTAAAATTGAGTGATACACATTAGGTATATAATAATGCATAATATTATTATAATATTTCTTGTAAGACTATTTTCTTACCTCCACAACCTCTCGGAATTACTTTATTCCTGATATCATAAGGACTCTCCAAACTTGTCTCCCATTTATGGAAATTTCTGGAGGATGGCTCTTTCCCTATGAAATCTGCTTGAGAAATTGTATTAAACACATATCTCAGCGCCAGATACGGAAAAACGTTTCTGTTTTAATTCCTTCACACAAATTTTCTCGGACTTCATCTTCTATCTCGGACATAGCCGAAAATTACAAAGAAATTGAACTCTGCAAGTTCATCTGTAAACTGTGTACCTACTCATGCTCAAAGGAACATCTCGAAAACTGTGTCATTTGTGGAAGAACATTCTCTAATGTTTTTCAACATTCCACGTGTACATGTCCTGCAACCAGTGAAGTAAGAAACAACTGGTGGAATGTGATCAAACTGTTTTGATACGTCTATCCGCAGAGCTGTGTGGCTTAACCGAAAATGAATGTTTTTAGTTCTACTGGGACGCATACAAATTATGAATCAGAAATGAATCTTTTCGGTTATTG